TGAAGAGAGGTTGAGTAGATTAGGATTATTTACATTAGAAAGATGGAGGTTGAGGGGGGACCTGATTGAGGTCTACAAAATCATGAGAGGTATAGACAGGGTGGATAGCAAGAAGCTTTTTCCCAGAGTGGGGGACTCAATTACTAGGGGTCACGATTTCAAAGTGAGAGGGGAAAAGTTTAAGGGAGATATGCATGAAAAGTTCTTTACGCAGAGGGTGGTGGGTGCCTGGAATGCGTTGCCAGCGGAGGTGGTAGAGACGGGCATGGTAGCATCATTTAAAATGTATCTAGATAGATACACGAATGGGCAGGGAGCAGAGGGATACGGATCCTTGGAAAATAGGTGACAGGTTTAGATAGAGGATCTGGATCGGCGCGGGCTTGGAGGGCTGAAGGGCCTGTTCCTCCTGTTTGATCTGTGTTTCATTTTCACTGACACAAGGCTCCGTGGAAAGCTGCTGAAGAATCTCCTGGCAGTTTGGAACAAGCAAAACTCCACATTCCAAATTTTCTTTGTTCTTTGTTCTTTGTTCAAACTATATCAGGACATAATCCATGCCCAAGGGAAAGCTAAAGGGTTAGTATGAATTTCTTCTTTTGAAAGAGAGCAAACAAAATAATATTGACAATGACATCCAGGCAAAGTGGAAAGTCTAAATGAGTCTTGTGCTAGAATAACAAATTATGTCAGGTTTTGAGGGTCTCAAGCCTCTGGGAACATTTTGGAGTTCTGCCTGATGCACAAAACTGGAGAGAATTCTTTTGCCAAAAGCATCTTTCAAAAATATTTGGGGTTGTGAGTAATGCATGTAATAGTGTGAGATTATACCATCCACTCGTGAGCCAGTCTCATCTGGTGCAGTGTGACAAGACTCCACTTATGCAACTAATTAATGTTGAACTGAAATGGGAAAGTGACTGTGCACCTTGTGTGATAACAAGGTGTAGAGCTGGATGAACACAGCAGGCCAAGCAGCATCAGAGGAGCAGGAAGGCTGACGTTTTGGGCATAGACCCTTCTTCAGATCTCAGATTCTCCAGCATCTGCAGTTCCTACTATCTCTTACTCCCTTACTCAGTGTCACATTGCAGGCTGTTTGAAAATGTAACCTGGTCCATTAGAATCCATTTATTGATCCAAATTGACCCTTGTCATGTTTCAGAATCAATACAGCTACAACATAGGCAACCAGCATGTGAACAGAATAATAAAATCGATTTTCAAGGCCACTGATGCCAAATAACGCAAAGAAGCTTGCAGGAGGTGGGCGCAAAGGCATGCCATGAAACACTGAAAGCTAGCACACAGGGGGCAGCAGGTAATTAGGAAGGGCTAATAGAATGTTGGCCCATACTTCAAGAGGGTGGTGTATAAGAGTGGGGAAGACTTATTGCAACTATACAATGTTCTGGCGATACCACATCTGGCACACTGTGAGCAGTTTTGCTCCCCTTATTTAAGGAAACACATCATTTAATCGGAGGCAGTTCAGAGAAGGTTCACTGGGATGATCCCTGGGACTGGGGGGCTAGCAGTGCAGAGAAAGAGAAATGACAGAGAGAGAGTTGGAACGACATATACAGTGGCAGTGAAAGAGAAAGAATGCAATAGATGTAAACAGAGAAACATGTGTTCAATTCCAACCACTCTCAGCAGTCCAACCCTGTTCATACACTTGTCAATGTGGATCATTCAGCCGCTTGCCCCTGGTTACTTATCAAAGCCTCCTGTTTGATCTGTGTTTCATTTTCACTGACACAAGGCCCCGTGGAAAGCTGCTGAAGAATCTCCTGGCAGTTTGGAACAAGCAAAACTGAGATTGGATCTCCTCCACATTCCAAACGACATGTGCTGAACAGAGCTTCTTATTCCCCTCTGCTCACGGCATGTGCCTATGGAACTGCCATGAAATCCTGCTGTCTCACAGTGAGCTGTAAATGGTGTCGGTCAGAGATGCCACTAACAAATGTCCCCCAGAAACCAGCAACTTAAGGTTAAAGGGCAGGACAGTCTGAAGCTCCATAGATCACAAGAAGGAGTAGCCTGCTCCGAAAAGTCCTTAAACCACATTTAGGTGCATGTCTTGAATATGACATTCCTAAATGAGGTGGAGGGGAATGTGGGGGGGATGATATTTGATTTGATTTATTATTGACACATGTACCGAGATATAATGAAAACAGTAAAGGCAGATGTTACCATACAAAGTACATGAGGGTAATAGAACAGAATGCAGAATATAGTGTTACAGCTGCTTAGAAGGTGCAGAGAGAGACCAACTTTACAATTTGCACGGTCTGTTCAGAAGTCTGATAACAGCAGGGAAGAGGCTGCTCTTGAATCTGTTGGGATGTGTTGGGATCTGTTTCAAAGTTCTTGTCCAAGTAGCTTTATAAAGTTGGGAGGACCTCAACTACCCTCCCAGGTAACTGTTTCAAACTTTTGCATCCTCTGCCTGACAGAAGAGGGTGGAAGTCAATATAATCGGGGTGGCAGGGGTCTTTGATTATATTGGCTGCTTTCCCAGGGTAGCAGGAAGTACAGATGGAGTCAGTGGATGGAAGGCTAATTTGTGTGATGGACTGGGCTGTGGATGATAAATAAGTTTGTGGCTGACATGAGTATTGGCTGGGTGGTTGACGGTGAGGAAGAAGGTGTTAGGTTGCAGGAGGATATAAGCAGATTGGTCAGATGTGCAGAACAATGGGAGGCGATGGCCTAGTGGTATTATTGCTGGACTGTTAATCCAGAGACCCATGATCGTGTTCTGGAGACCTGGGTTCAAATCCCACCATGGCAGATGGCAGAATTTGAATTCAATAAATAACTGGAATTAACAATCTAATGATGACTGTGAATCCATTGTCGATTGTCAGGAAAAACCCATGTGGTTCACTAATGCCCTTTAGGGAATGAATCTGCTATCCTTACCTGGTCTAGCCAACTTGTGACTCCAGCCCTGCAGCAATGTAGTTGACTCTCAACTGTTCTCTAGGCAATTAAGGATGGGCAATAAATGCTGCCTAGCCAGTGACGCCCTCGTCCTGTGAATGAATAAAAAAGAAGGTGGAGTTGAAGCCTGAAAAATGGGAGGTAATGCATGTTGGAAGAAGCTACAAGACAAGGATGTACTCAACGAATGCAGGACACTAGGAAGCTCAGAGGAACCAAGGGATCTTGGTGTGTTTATCCACAGATACCTGAAGGAGGCAGTGTTGTTTAATGGGGTGGTTACAAGTCATATGGGACACTTGCCTTTATCATTTGAGGCATTGATTATAAGAGCAAGGATGTGATTTTGGAGCTGGTTCTGGTTCGGCCATCGCTAGAGTACTGTGTGCAGTTCCAATCTCTGCATTATAGGAAGGATGAGAATGCACTGGAAGGGGTAGTAAGAAGTTTCCCCAGGATGTTGTCTGGAATGGCGCATTTTAATGATGCAAAGAGGCTGGATAAGCTCAGATTGTTTTCTTTAGAGCAGTTGAGGGGGGACCTGATGGAGGTGCATAAGATTAAGGGGCATGGAAAGGTGGGTTATGAAGCAGCTGTTCCCTTCAATCCAAGGTTCAATAACAAATGATGCATCATTTTACAGTGAAAGGTATGAACTTTAGTTGGGATTTTGAGTTAAAACTCTTCACCGAGATGCTGTTAGAGGTCTGGAATGCACTGCCTGGGAGGGTGGTTGAGATAGAAAACCTTCCAACTTTATAAAGCTACTTGGATGAGAACTTGAAATGTTATAACATTCAAAGAAATGGGCCAAATGCAGATTCATTAGTTGGTCAGTTAGATATAAATTGAATGGTTTGAAGGGCCACTTCTGTTCAATTAGAATCATCAAATCCCTACAGTGTGGAAACAGGTCATTTGGCCCATCAAATCCACACTGACCCTCAGAACATTCCACCCAGACCCATCCCCTAATCTACACATCCCTGATCACTATGAACAATTTAGCATGGCCAATCCATCTAATTCACACACCTTTAGACTGTGGGAGGAAACCAGATCACACAGACGCGGAGAGAACATACAAACTCCACACAGACAGTCACCTGAGGGTGGAATTGAACCTGGGGTCCTGGCGCTGTGAGGCACAAGAGCTAACCACTGAGCCACCATGCCACCCTTCTGTTCTGTATAACTCTACCTTGAAGCAAATGTGAACATTGAACCCAGGTTTCTGAGCTCTAAGGTTAGGGTTTCAAACACTGCACCACAAACCATCACTCATTGATGCTTGCAATAGAAGATTGCCCTTTACTTAAGCTCCCTTTTCATTGCACAGACCGACATGTGCAATCTAACCAAGAGGCAGGATTTATCTGTGAGTGAGCAGTGGGATGTGAAAATGTCAGACAGTGAGGACATGGTCCAAACATCAAACTTTGACACCGATACATTCTGGACCAGTCACTGTTGCTGACAAATTCCTGGGCAAGTTCCCTGGTGAGACAGACTGATGCTGTGCTCTTCAAAGTCGAGAATCAGCATTGAAGACGGGTTTTGAAAAGGTGGAGGTGGGTGGGACATCTGCTGTATACCCTGTTTCATACGCGGATGTATCATATGGCAATGGAACCTGATATCACACATGGTCTTATTTTTAATGCTGGGCTATGGGATGTGGGCAACATTGGCTGGGCCAGCAATTGTTGTCCACCTCGAATTTCCCAGAGGAGCAGTTAAGACAAAAGCCATCGCTAGAGTACTGTGTTCATTATAGGAAGGATGAGAATGCGCTGGAAGGGGTAGACAGAAGATTCACCAGGATGTTGTCCGGAATGGCACATTTCAGCAATGCAGAGGGGCTGGATAAGCTCAGATTGTTTTCTTTAGAACAGTTGAGCAGGGAACATGATGGAGGTGTATAAGATTATAAGGGGCATGGAAAGGGGGTTATGAAGCAGCTGCGGGAATCACACCAAGGCTCAACCAGATAAAGTCCTTGCCCTAAATGGGCATTAATAAACCCACACAATGGGCTGGAAAGTGGGACTACTGTAGATTTATAACAGTTTTTGGCAATACAGATTCGATCGGCTGAAGGACCTTTTCCACGCTGTACGATTGGATGAGAAGCTTTGCTACCTTCTGAATGTGTGGGAGAGAGAGGGAACAGCTTGGAGTAGGCACAAGTGTGAAGCAACTGGCAGGGAGTGACAGAAAGCACAGAATTGTAACCCATCTTCCGAAAACACACTGGAAACAGCAAGTGAATCGATTCATACTTCAAACATCCTACTCCTGTTGTGAAGAGATGAACAGTGCGTTTTCTCGGATCCTTTCTCTGCCCTGCAAAAAGTAAAAAAAAAATACCCAGTGTATTGTCATATCAATATGCACTCCAGGTGAAAATGTTAGCTTGTGAGCTTCCTGCAAACATTATGAAAGTGTCTTCTGAATGGAGCCCAGTTTATGGATCCCTGACACATGAGTATCTAACTGCATTCACGGATAGAGAAGAATATTCTGTGCTTATGGCGTAGAACAGGGAATGACCTGAAATGACAGACAAGTGAACATGTAGCAATAAGCAGATCCAGTGTAGAGCAGGTTATATTGGGGAATGAGTCACATGGATAGCCATGTGACTGCAAGTTCATTAGACCTAGGAGCAGAATTAGGCCATTCAGCCCTGCAGTCTGCTCTGCCATTTGGTTACAGCTGATCTCTCAACACCATTCTTCTATCTTCTCCCCACAACCGTTAATTTCCTGACTATTCAAGTATCTCTCTACATCTGTCTAAAGACAAGGGTGACTTGGCCTCCACAGCCCTCTGCAGCAATGAGTTCCACAGATTAACCTCCCTCTGGCTGACAAAATTCCTCCTCATCTCAATCCTAAAAGGTCATCCCTTCCCTTCACTTTGAGGCCCACAGAACCATAAGGTTTTCTGAAAGTATATAGGTAAATGGGCAGTCTGGGTTAAGGTAGGAAGAGGGGTGTCTGCTACAGCCATCCATGTACATAACCAGCAGGAACTTGAGGATATGTATTACAAACTAAAGTGTACTTCTGCTTTTCTTCAGAAATCCAGTATGGTTGGACCGAATATTTATTAAAGTGGCAAAAAGAAATGACCATGTCAGATAAGAGACAATGTAACCATTTTCCCTTGACATTTTGTGGATATCACCAGGGCTGATTATACCATTAACCAAACTATGGGGATACCATTAACAGGAATCTGAACTGTGGTGTACAATGTTGGTCACCTTACTTGAGGAAGGATGTGAATGTTGAATGGACCAACATTTGGCAGATGGACTTTGATGTGGTGAAGTATAAGGTTATCCATTTGGGTGGGAAGATTAAAAAGGTGATATTCTCTAAATGGGGAGAATCTTCAGAGTGCTTTGGCACAGAGGGATCTGGGTGTCCTTATGCATAAATTACAGAAAATAACTTTGAGGGAAGTGGGTGTCCTTGGCTGGCCAGCATTTAATACCTGTCCCTTGTTGCCTGGCTAGGCCATTTCAGAGGACATTTGAGAGTCATCCACATTGCTGTGGGTCTGGAGTCACATGTCGGCCAGACAATTTCATTCCCTAAAGGACATGAGTGAACCAGATGGGTTTTTCCACTGGCTTTTAGGATGTGGAGTGCCGGTGTTGGACTGAGGTGGACAAGTTCAGAAATCACATGACACCAGGTTACAGTCCAACAGGTTTATTTGAAAACAGTCTGATTTCGAAATAAAAGATAAGTGGATTCTAAACAAGGCCTCACACCTAACATGCATTATCTGACATAAAATATCAATTCTTCTTTACAGTGGTTAAACATCTATTTCTGTCAAAGCAGTGACTTGAAAGGAATTCAGGGATTTACATACTCATATTAATCAAATTAAACCTACAAACTGATTTAAGATTTAACAGCTTCTTAGGTTTGATTAATACATCCACATCAGAGGTATGAGCCTTTGAATTGTTACTTATGAATTCTGTGTCTGATACCAGCTCTCTCACTGACACCTGAAGAAAGAGTACGGCTCTGAAAGCCCATCTTTTCAAATAAACCTGTTGGATTCTAATCTGGTGTTATGTGATTTCTGACTTTTGGCAAAGGTTTCAATTCTTAATTCCAGATTTTGCATTTTTATTGAATTTAAATTCCACCATTTTCTGAACCCAGTTCCCTTGAAACATCTGAAGCAGGGTCTAGGCCCCAAACGTCAGCCTTCCTGCTCCTCTGATGCTGCTTGGCCTGCTGTGTTCATCCAGCTCTACACCTTGTTATCCCTTGAAACATTTATTGAATTTCCAGATTAATAATCGAGCCATAATACCACTCAGCCATCACCTCCTCATGTGGAGGATGAGTTAGCACTTCAATATTAATAGGCAGTAGAATTGCCTTGGATAGAGGAACGAATGCATTCTGTTGGTACGGCCACACTTGGAGTACTTTATGTAGTTCTGGTCTTCCTGTGAAAGGAAGGAGATCATTAAATTGGCGACGGTGCAGAAAAGGTTTACAAGGACGTTTCCAGGATGAGAGTGTTTGAGTTATAAGAAGAGGCTGGATAGGCTGGGAGCTTTTCCACTGGACCATAGGAGGTTTAGGGGTGAAACTGTAGAGGTTTTTAAAATTACAAGAGGCATAGATAAGGTGAATAGCCAAGTCTTTTCCCTAGGGTAGGGGAGATCAAAACTAGAGGGCATAGGTTTAAGGTGGAAGGGAAAGATTTAAACAAGACACGAGGGGCACTTTTTTCACATAGAGTGTGGTGTGTATATGGAATGAACTGCCAGAGGAAGTAATAGACGCAGGTACAGTTACAACACTTAAAAGACCTTTGTGCTGGGCATAGTCCCAATGCATCATGGGGCGACTGTCTCATTAGAGAGAGAGGACTGTGTGGTGTTTTAACCTGAGGATGACAACGACTCAAGTGAGGGACGAGATGGAGATAGAGAGCCCTTCATGGTATACTCAGCCAGTGTGGGAATTGAACCCATGCTCTTGGTATTGTTCTGCATTAGGAAACCAGCTGCCCAGCTAACTGCCTGCCAATATAATGGTGAATGCGCCAAGGCAGAGAATAGAAGCAAGTGTCAGGGAACATCGAAGATTCAAACCAGAAGCAGCAATGGCAATTTTACCTGCTAGTGGCAAGCCGCTTGCAAAATGTTCGACAAAATGATGACCGCCATCAGAATGAGCACGAACACACTGAGGCAGAGATGTACCAATGTCACCGCGGTGTGATCTTGTTCTGTGCAAGGAGATTAATCCAGTTTAGATTGGGAGTGTTAGGGAGCTCGAGAGGCTGACAGAAATGATTGAGGAGCAGAGGAACATTGACATCCTCATTGCAGAGACGGCCAACGTTTAAACAGTTACATTGAGGGCCAATGCGTTAGAATCAGGGTGGAAGTATTACAATGTTACTTCTTTTCCACAACATCAAGGAAAGGGAGGGTTAGGATTTTCCTGAATTGCTAGATGGAAGGGATTTACAGAACGCAGAATACATAAAGTACAAATAGGGCCCTTCGACCCATCGATTCTGTGCAGCCTAAACCTACACAACCACCTGCACCAGTCCCATATTTCCAGCACTAGGCCCCATAACCTTGAATGTTATGACACTTCAAGTGCTCATCAAAGTAATTTTGAAAAGGTTGTGACGTTTCCTGCCTCAACTACCCTCCCAGGCAGTGCACTCCAGACCTCCACGAACGTCAATCTACAAAAGCCATTTGAGGGTCAGGGAGCTTTTTGATGAAGGTGAACAGCTGCTTCCTCTGCCCCCCACCTCCCCAACCACCATCCATACCCCTCATAATCTGACACACATCTATCAGGTCCCCCTCAAACTTCTCTGCTCTGAAGAAAACAACTCAAGTTTATCCAGCCTCTCTTCATCGCTAAAATGCTCCATCCAAGGCAACATCCTGGTCATCTCCTCTGCACCCTCTCCAGTGCAATCAGCACAGTCATTAAGTGCGGGGATCGGAACTGAACACAGTGCTCCAGCTGTGGCCTCACCAAAGTCCTGTCCAGCTCTGACATCACCTCCCCGCTCTTATTATCTATGCCTCGACTGATAAAGACTAGTGTCCCATATGCCTCCTTAACCACCCTATTAACCTGTCCTGCCACCTTCAGGGATCTGTGGACAAACACCCCAAGATTCCTCTGTTCCTCTGGGTTGGACAGGATAGATGCAGGAAGAATGTTCCTGATGTTGGGGAAGCCCAGAGCTAGGGTTTGCAGTTTAAGAACAACGGGTAAACCATTCAGGGCTGAGATGAGGAATAATTCTTTACTCAGAGATTTTGTGAACCTGTGGAATTCTCTCCCACAGGAAGCTGTTGGGGCTCATTTGTTAGATATATTGAAGAGGGAGCTGGACATGGCCCTTGTGGTTGAAGGGATCAAAGGTCATGGAGAGAAAGCGATATGGGAGGGGAATATTGAAATTGCATGATCAGCCATAATCATATTGAAAGGTGGTGCAGGCTCAATGAGCAGAATGGCCTACTCCTGCATCTATGTTCTATGTTTGCTTCATCTGTATTGAGAGTGGAATGTGTTGGGCGGAACACTTCTTGTGAGGAAATGTTGTAAAGTTTGTGTCTGCATGCATTAGAGCTGAGATAAATGTGAGATGAAGGGGCTTATACAACACAGGATGTCCAGTTAGTATGTTTGCAGATGATGCCAAAGTTGGAGGTGTAGTGGACAGTGCAGAACGTTATTTCAGTGTGCAGTGGGACATTGATCAGATGGGCTGATGGTCCGACAAGTGGCAGATGGAGTTTAATTTAGATAAATGTGAGCCGTTGCATTTTGCTAACAAGCATCAGAGCAGGACTTATACTCAAATGGTAAAGACCTGGGAAGTGTTGCTGAACAAAGAGATCTTGGGCTGCAGGTTCATAGTTCTTCTTGAAAGTGGAATCACAGGTAGATAGTGAGGAAGGCATTTGGTATCTTTGTCTTCATTGGTCAGTGCATTGAGTCTCGGATTTGGGATATCATGTTGCAGCTGTCCAGGAATTTTCTGGTGACTTTTGCAATAATGCATTCAATTCTGGTTGACCTTCTGTAGGGAAGATGTTGTTAAACTTGAAAGCATTCAGAAAAGATTTACAAGAATGTTACTAGAGTTGGAAGTTTGAGCCATAGGGAGATGTCAGCATGGTGTTACTTTCCCTGGAGCTTCAGAGGCTGAGGGGTCACCTTATGGAGGTTTATAAATATCATGAGGGGCATGGATGGGGTGAATAGCCAAGAACTACTCTCCAGGGCAGGAAGCATAGGTTTAAGGTGAGAGAGGAAAGATTTAAAAGGGACCTCAGGTGCAAATTTTTCACGCATAAGGTGGTGCGTGTGTAGAATGAGTTGCCAGTCGAAACGGAGGAGGCTGGTACAATTACAACATTTAAAAGGCATCTGGATGGGTATGTGAACAAGAAGTGTTTCAAGGGATATAGGCCCAATAGTGGTAAACGGGAATAGATTAATTGAGGAGATAGTAGGAACTGCAGATGCTGGAGAATCTGAGATAACAAGGTGTAGAGCTGGATGAACACAGCAGGCCAAGCAGCATCAGAAGAGCAGGAAGGCTGATGTTTCGGGCCTAGACCCTTCTCCTTCCTGCTCCTCTGATGCTGCTTGGCCTGCTGTGTTCATCCAGCTCTACACCTTGTTATCCCAGATTAATTGAGGATATCTGTTTGGCATGGACAAGTTGGGCTTTGATGTATGTCTCTATGACTCCAAACATACGCTCAGATCTTTGACGAGCTTGTAACAAGTTGAAACGTGGATAAGACAAGCTTAAAACATGAAGCACCTTTAATCATCAAACTGTCTTTTTCTAAGTATCAACTGGATGATATTAAACTGGCAGTTTCTATTATCCGTATGTATTTATGAAAATGAGGAAGACTTTGAGACACAAGAACATGTAGTCACCTTTTGATGTGTGATCCTCCTTTCTTTTCTTCACAACTGCAACAAATTGGCTGGATGGGGAAATGGTAAAATGTCCATGAACCTCTGTTTGATATCGACAACTGTAATTTCCTACAGAAGTCTGTTCATGGACATTGATTGTAAAGACTGTCGTATCTTCAAGACCAGACACATGATGTTCATGTGTAAAATAATTCCTGCGACTGTTGAACAAGTAGAATATTCCTCCTCTGGGGCGAATATCACCTTTGCAGGAAATCACAACATAGTCCCCACTTGAATTGAAACCGGAATCTGAGAGCACTTGGATCGTCGGTTTGGAGAGTTCATCTGTTACATCATGTTAAAATAAATATATTTACAAAAACATTTAAATATACTTATTAAAGCAGGACACTTGAAAGGAGAAAGGTGCAGAAGAAAACAATTGCAAAGTCCAGAGAGAGATCTTAACAGCAACAATTCTCAAATCAAATATATAACATATTGCATGTAATATGTTGTATGAAAAATAACCTAAATGACATCATTCTATATCATACTTTAATACACAACACAATGTAATGTTAGTCTTGAGTGAAATATATTTTCCTTAATTACAAGAAATGCACTGTGGTGGGCTTATCATAAATGCTTCGCACTTTATAGCAGTTCATTAATACAATATAATACCAGGCAGCTCCACAGGATCACTGGGATGTGGAAGTGTGCTGGCTCCATACCATTCTACAGAATGACCCCAGGACAGGGAAAGAGTTTGCATCTGGCCCACGCGTCGTATATGTCCTTCCTTTGCCTATTTAAGGATTACACTAAATTGAAATTGCTGCTTCTCAATAAACTCTTAGAAAATTGGTACAAATAGCTGATAGTCTGTATTCAGTAACTGTGACTATGAAACCTCGTAAAATCCAAAATTGATCACTTTGCAAAGCCTCCAATGGGCCGCACTGAGACTGACGTTGGGGCCCATCAATTTAGTGATTGCTGACAGTGGTTTGCATCCCACCCCATGCGAAAGTGGAGGGTGCACTTGATGGAGTGCACAATGCTATAAACAGCCTTGAGATGCAAAACCCCGAGGCCTTGTAGTCGATGACTTCAATCTGGCCAACCTCAGGAACGTGCTCCCAAAATATCATCAACACTTCTCCTGTCCTACTAGAGCACCGAAAACATCCCTGACTATTGTTATAAAATCATCAAAGATGCCTACTGCTCCATCCCCTGTCAGCATTTGGAAAATCAGATCACAACGCTGTGCTCCATCTCCCGTCTTACAAGCAGAAATTGAAACATGAGGACCCAGTACACAAAGTTGTTCAGAGTAAGTCTGAGGCAACGAAAGACCTTCTATGGAATTGTTTATAGTCATTGGACTGGTCCATATGCAAAGAACTCAGCTACCAACATAAATGAGTATGTCACTACTGATACAGACTTCATCAGTAAGTGTGTAGAAGACTGTTTGCCAAAGAAGTTAATCCAAATCTTCCCCAACCAGAAGCTATGGATAAACCAGGGGATCCAGTCCCCACTGAAATCCAGATCTGAAGGATTCAAGTCAGGCGACCCTGATATATAGGAAATCTAAGTGTAACCTTCGTAAGGTCATCAGAGACACCAACAGTCAATACCAAAAGCTTGAGGCCCAGACCAACCAGATGGACACTGTTCGTTGTAGTAACGCTTATACAACATAACGGGCTAAAAAGTGAAGTTGAACAGAATTGAGGACAACAGGACGTCCCTACGCGATCGAGACAATGCATTTTACATTCACTTTGAACAGAAGGTCAGTGAAAAAATGTCAGATATCCCAACAGTCTCGGATGCACCTCTACCAACAGTCAACTTCACAGAGTTTAGATCTGCCTGTGTGCGTGTGAACCCATGAGAAATGACTGGCCCAGATGGAGACCCCACTGTGCCCTCCGATCCTGTGTGGACCTGCTGGCAGGAGCATTTGCTGATATCTTTAATTTCTCCTTACCATGATGTGAGGCTCCCACCTGCTTCAAAAGGCCACCATCATCCCGGTGCCGAAGAACAATCATGCAGCATGTGTCAATAACTATCACCTGGTGGCTCTGACCTCCATAATTATGAAGTGCTTCGAGAGGTTAGTCATGGCTCACATCAACTCCAGCCGACCAATTCCCTTGCTCCTTTGCAGTGCAACAGGTCCACATCAGGCACCATCTCCCTGGCCCTACTCATCCCTGGAACATCTGGATAACAAGGATACCTATGTCAGGGTCCTATTTATTGACTGCAGTTCCACCTTCAACACCATAATTCCAAGCATACTCATCTCTCAACTCTGAGACCTAGGTTTTAACTTCCCCCTCTGTAATTAGATCCTTGACTTCCTGATCCATAGGCTGCAATCAGTCGGAATGGTGACAACATTTCCTCCACCATAATCCTCAACACCAGTGTATACTCGGTCTCCTGCTATACTCCTTATACACTCATGACTGTGTGGCCAAATTCTGACCCAACTCCATTTTGAAGTTTGCTGATGACACCACTGTTGTAGGTTGAAGCTGAAACAATGGTGAGACAGAATACAGGAAGGAGATTATGTACATGGTGTAAAGACAGAAATCTCTCCATCAACATCCACCCAAAATGAAGGACCTGGATATTGACTTCAGGAAGCGGAGTGGAGGGCATGCCCCTGTCTGCATCAATGGTGCTGATGTTGAGATGGTCAAGAATGTCATGTTTCTGAGAGTGATGATCACTAACCAGTTGTCCCGGTCCACCCACGTCGATGCGACCGTCAAGAAACCACAATATCTCTACTTCCTCAGGACGTTAATGGAAATTCAGTTTGTCCACAAAGACTCGTCAATTTTTACAGATGCACCATAGAAAGCATCACAGTGCAGTATGACAACTGCTTTTCCCAAGACCGCAAGAAACTACAGAGAGTCGTGAACACAACCTCATGCATCATGCAAACCAGCCTTCAATTCATTGACTCCATCTACACTTCCCACTGCCCCGGGTAAACAGCTAACATAATCAAAGACCCATCCCACCCTGGTTGTAGTCTATTCCACCGTCTTCTATCAGGCAGAAGATATAGAAGTTTGAGTACACCTACAAACAGATTCAAGAACAGCTTCTTCCCCACTGTTATCAGACTTTTGAACAGAACTTTCAAATATTAATTCTGATCTGTCTCTGCACCTTCTGTGTGCCTCTAACACTGCATAATGCATTCTGTTCTACTTAACTGATGCACTTTGTATTGAATAATCTGTCTGTATACCACATGAAACAACACTTTTCACTGTCTCTCGGTACATTTGATAACAGTAAATCAAACAACAAACACAGGGAGAAACAGATTTAATGACATACCTCCGACATATATCTGAATGGAGTCAGTAAATCTTGATCTTTTCCGTGTTCCATTCTCCAATACAAAGAAACATTCACACTTGTAACTTGTTTTACCTCTCTTTAAATCTTTTAAATGCAAATATGTTTCACATTGTCCTTCAGAAAGTTCTGCTTCCCTGCATTTGGAATTGTAGCACGAGCATATACTTGTGACTGGACATTGACAGCTGCAGCTCACCGATGTTGACTCTCCTCCCAAAAACACCTCATACGAAGGATTCAGAGACACAACCGGCTTCGGAAAATCCCCTGAGAAATGCAATTAAAGCATTTTATCATCATAATATGTTTAATCAAAATGGCTGAACATGTTACAAGAACCTGACTTTAAGTGCACATGATTACAAGGTGATATGGACTCAGTTTCAGATGATATTGCCTGGGAGCATTGAATTCTTAAAATAAATATCACTGTTTGAAATTAGTCGAAGGTGTATGGGGATAATTGCCTTTAGTAGCCGAGAGCTTAAGAGCAGGGAGGCAATGCTGGGATGGTATAAAGCATTGGTTAGGCCACACAGTGTGAGTATTGTGTGCAGTTCTGGAATCCACATTATCAGAAGGATGTGATAGCACTGGGAGAGGGTGCAGAGGGAGAATTACCAGGATATTGCCTTGGGGGCTGGAGAGTTTTAGTGATGAAGAGGGATTGGACAGCCTGGGGTTGTTTTCTTTAAAGCAGAAGAGATTGAGGAGGGACATTATTAAGATTTATAAAATGATAAATGGCTTAGATAGGGTAGACAGGAAGAAACACTCCCCCCTTGATGGACGGATCAATGACCAAGATGTGGCATAGATTGAAGGTGAGGACCAGGAGATTTAGAGGGGACGTGAGGCATTTGCGATTCCAAGGCTATGGGCCAAGTGCTGGGAAAATGGGATTAGAGAAAAGTGAGGTGACTGTGTTTGACTGGAGCAGATCTGAGGGGCCGAAGGGCTTTTGGCTATGTTGTAGATCTCTAAGACTGTATGACTCTAATGTTTATAACTTTTTTATTAAGCTTCTGGTGGCCATAACATTTTAATTAAGTTTAAAACAACAGATAATGCAACCTCAGTCATTTTAAACATTGTAATTCTCCCTCTACACATTGTGTATACTGCTGGGAAATATAATCAGCTAATCTGGGACACTTCATTACAGACAGAAAAAAAGAGATGTGAGAAGATTAATTTTCACAATGATGTCTCTAAAGCTGTACACAAATTCAACGTTAGGTTTATTTAAGCTGTTTCTAATCAATTGATCTGATAATCAAGTGAAAAGCATTAACAAAGTTTATTTCATGTTAATGAATTCAATTCTATTTTAAATTCTCATACTCACATATCTCCTGCATTTTGACCAGCACATGGGAAAGAACTAGTGGGAAACAATGAAAGAATTGATGAATATAAATGTTTTACTTTTTACAAATCTGGAGACAGACAGAGATGCTAATTTCAGTTGGTGACACATGATGGTGGGAGGTGTGAGAAGGGAGTGTAATATTATTGCAAGATAGGGGTCAAGATAGTATAAATTGGTGTAATGTAAGTTAAGGATGCTTCAAGTTGAGTTGTAACAGGCATTCCTTCAGACAGTTTTGGTGACATGTTGATTTGAATGCCTTGGATGCACAAACCAGAAGTCTTCAGGTTTTGAGGTCAAGAGTTGATTATAAATAATGTTAGTGTAACATTGTACATACCTATCTCATCACCACTCTGACAGGACAGTCTGCATTGATAAGAAACAGACAAAAACATATGGGACTTGGGCTAACTCACAAAATATGGAAAACAAAAATCTATTAGTCTGAGGAACTGTGACTGAAGCAAAAGGATGTTGATCATTTTGGGTTCAGACTGGAAAGAGAGGGGGAAACAATTGTTGGTGTGTATTATTTATTGAGCACCAAACTTATACTACAAAATTTGGGCATGCTACAATCAAGAAATGAGTGATGCATTTAATGTAGTTAATAAAGTAAAAATGAGCAATTTCAATTTGCATGTAGACTCAAATAATGAAGTCATTATTGATGTGGTGGAGGATGTATTCCTGGCGTGCGCACAAGTTGTTTCCTTGGACTAATACATTTTGGCAGCAATCTGGGATTGTACCAGGTTGGATTTAATATTTTGTAATGAGAAAGGGTTAAATTATTATCTGTTCTCTTGATGAATCTGTGGGAAATAGTATCCATAATATCATAGAAATTTGCAAAACAGTGACCATACTATCACAGAATTTTATTTCAAATTGAAAACAACACCATTCATCTTAAAGCTGAACGTAAGAAAATATACATATCTAAGGAACGGGTTGTCTGGAGCAAATTTTGAAAATGAACAAAATTGTCAAGAGGAGATAGGCAAAGTTGTAAACTTAAGGTTCCACGACAAATGCCCATTCATGTAACATACAAAATTCCAAAGCGAATGGTGGATTTATCAAGATTTATGAAAGATATCTAAATTTCATGAGTTGAAAGCAAGGGGATTATCAGACTGCCAGAAACATTGAGAGGCCTGAAGATTAGGAATAATTTAGGACCCAGTGTAAAATAACCAAGAAACTGTTAGGGAGAAGGAAAACAATACAAATTCGAGCAAGTGATGAATACAAAGATGGACAGTAAAGGTTTTAATGATACACTGAAAGGAAAACAAAGACACCATAAATGTGAACCCATAGCAGGTAAGGGTAGGAAACATTACACTAGTAAACATGAAAGTGCAGTTGTTGGTCTTGCATAAGGTCATAGAGACCATAAGAAACAAGAACAGACATAGGTCATTTGGCCTCTCGAGCCTGTTCTGCCATTCAATTGGATCATGGCTGATCCGACATTCCTCAGGTCTGCTTCATGCCCTTTCACTGTAACACTTCATTCCTCTGTGGACGAAGAATCTTTCTGTTTCATCAATAAATATACACAAGGGCTCTGCCCTCACACAGCTGTGTGCAGTGAGTTGTTCCAAATACTTACAAAATCCTCTGAGAGTAGAAATTCCTCCATATCTCTTTATTCTCAACCCCTTTATTCTGAAGCTATGCCCTCTAGTCCTAGACTCTTCCATAAGGGAGAAACATCCTCTCAAGATTTTTCAGAAAGCTTTTCATAAGATCCCACACTGAGTGTCAACAAATTGAAGTAGAGCCCATAGGCCTGGCTGGATTAAATAGACTGGTTTGGGAATTGTCGAGCCCCTTAAGAATCCTGCATTGTTTAATGAGATTACTACTCATTCTTCTAAACTCCAGTGTGTGGAGTCTAACCTGTTTAACCCTCAAGGAAAATGATCCAGGTGGAAGTGATACCTAACAGTACAATGTGCTGAAGAAATTGCAGAGATGTTGCAAGAAAGAAATATAATGAGTAAAATGGTAGTTGATACAAAAATTGGGGGAGTGAAGATTGAGGAATATCTTCAAGTAGCTGAAGTTAATGCCAGGGTGGTGAAGAAATGTGTAAGACACCTAAATTACTACATTGTTGGCTATCTTTCTTAATTCTATTAATTCTGGAAATGGCTTTCTGACTCAAACATAATCTCTTAAATAATGAAGCAAAGGGTTTAATGGAGACCTTGGTTAGCTTGATGACCACAATAGAGAACATGTTAGACTCCATGATTGAGAATCTGGTAACTGAGCATGGAGTAAAGAATGGCAAAATTGCACAGCGCCAAAATAGGTGTATTAAATGGCAATCCTGCTTGACAAAACCGATGGAGCATTTTGAGGAGATTCCATGCAGCATCAATAAATAGAAAATAGAGAATTTACTCAGCTTTAAGAAAGCTTTTCAGAAGATCCCACACAGGATGTCAACAAATATAAGCACAGCTCTTAGGACTGGGTGGAGTGAATCATATAGTTTAGAAATTGCTCGGTATAGAGAAAGCAGAGACGATGAATGAATGAATCATTCTCAGGAGGAATGCTTTTCTCAACTTTTATAAACAATTTGGATGACGGGGTAAATGATCACAATTCCAAATTGTTGCACAAATAGGACATTTGGCCTCTTGAGTCTGCTGCCCTCTTCAATGGAATCATTGCTGACCCAAAGCTCCCGAAGTGATATTGATTCAAATTCAAGAATGTGAAGGCCTCAGAAATGGCTTCCACACATTTCTACCATCACCTCACTCCGCTTTTTATCTCTCAGAAATAATCCCTGAGACCTGTCTGCCTCAATTCAAATATTCTTCATCATGCCAATACATTTCCTTATCTGTCGAGACGTTTCTATATATCCTAATCGCTTCAGCCTCCCGCAGAGTAACATTCGCTCTCACTCTGTCCCACAGTTTCTGAGTCCATTTATTTTTCCCTTGACCACATATCAGCCTGCATTCTTCCTTCAGTCGTTAAATGAATTTCTGCGATCAAATTGTGTGGTCACTTCAATGTGATCGATCCCTATTCATAAAAAAGCAAGTCAACTCATCTGCTAGAAATTCATCAGTTTCCAAAGACATCTCTCTTCCCCTCCCATATATTATTGATTCTGATTTTGTCCACTTCATGCTCAGTCAGGATTACTGGTCTATATATGTATCCCTTGTCATGTTCTTTTGTTTTACTGTAGTTAGCCTTGATCAGTTCACTTTTCTCCTCATTCATCTTTAAAATTTGTTATGAAGTTTGTCGGATTTTAAGAGAACAAGCTAGGTCAATGGGACAAACATTTTAATATTCATAACATGGGGCTACAATAGTCGAAGGTATTCATTAAAAAGTTGCAGCAAGCTAAACTCTTTTGATGGACTTCCACAACTGACCAGTTCCTCAATTATGCAAAGTCACTTATTATTTAGAGTAATCTTCTAGGTAGTAAACAAACAAACTGTGAGGATTCACTACTCACCGATTGCAAGAAAGATTGAAAAAGTGAACATTTTCCAATGAAATTCCCACCCAATATTTTGGACGTTGAGATCTGTGAGTTGTTTTCATTTGCTGCTTGAGTTTCTGACTGGTTGGAAGATAACAGTCTGTATTGAGCAAGTTCAAATAGGAACTGAGATGGCAATGCAAGTTGTCATGTGGTTTTAAAATGCAATTTCTATCTCCCATGTTCGGGTGAGTCAGGTTATTGTCAAAAAAAAAGACCATATTGTTGAGCAGTCAGCACAGAATCAGTGCGTGGAAGTGGGAGCCCGAAGGTCCTTCTGCCAGTTCTCACAGCCAGCTGAGGTCAGGATGAAGTTCCTACCTTCTCCACCTTACCCCACACTTGAGGCTGGTTAATCTCAGGTTAAACTCACCCCAAATCATCTCTCTCTTGAGTGAGAGAGTAGGACTATGGCAACATTACCCTTACCCAGTGGTTAGAAGCCACAAGGACCACATCAGTGTCCTAAAATCACAAATACTGACTGTAAATGAACATGCATTGTTTAATGTATATTTAAGGTGTATCTGAATCCCATTCAGTTTGCATCATTGCAAATCTGAAGTGCTGCATAATATGCTGTTATAAATTTGAGTAACAAAGTGTTTACTCATGGGAAGGAAAGCTGATTGCACATTTCTCATGTTACCCTCGTGTATATCCATCTCCCTGAGACGTATTTTTTTTTTAAATTAACTCCTGGTCAGTAATTATTACCCATCCCTAGTTGCCGTTGAGAAGGTGGTACTGAGCTGCCTTCTTGAACTGCAGAATTGCAGTTAAACTGTAACGTACGATGTGTATTGTGTTGGAAAATCATATCCTACTGGCTCCTTCTTCATGCTCTATGTCTATTTATGTTTTTGTTTTAATGATAATGGCCAGAAATTTGGAATTCTGGAATTAGAACTGCAGTTGTCAAAATGGGTTCCAGGTCAGGGGAAGATTCATTCTGTCCTAATATATGTTCATGACGAATTGAACTTACTTTGTTATATCTCACCCATATTGATCTTATTTTAATAACATTCCATTTTAAAGAAATAACACCCTTTCACCTTTCAATTCAATGATCAGAACACTGGCTGAATTATTCATGTTGCAGGTTTATTCAATACTTTCAATTCAGTTGCTTCATCAATGACCTTCTCTCCATCACAATGTCAGATATGGGATGTTTGCCAATGATTGCACAATGTTCAGAACCATTTGCAACTCCTCGGATACTGAAGCAGACCATTTCCAAATGCAACAAGACTTGGACAATGTCCAGTCCCTGGGCTGAAAAGTGGCTAGAAACATTTAAGTCACACAAGTGCCAGGCACCGAACATCTCCCTCCACACATGCTGCCAGATCTGCTGAGATTCTCCAACACTTTCTGTGTTAAAGGAGAAACCTTTTAGAACTGAGATGAGCAGGAATTTATTCAGCCAAAGGGTGGTGAATTTGTGGAAATCATAGCCACAGAGGGCTGTGGAGGTCAAGTCATTGAGTGCCTTTAAGACAGGCATAGATAGGTTCTTAAAAAAGTGAAAGAACTGCAGATGCTGTAAATCAGGAACTAAAACAAAGTTGCTGGAAAAGCTCAACAGGTCTGTCAGCATCTGTGAAGGAAAAATAAAGAGTTAACATTTCAAAACCATAGATAGGTTCTTGATTAGTACGGGGTCAAGGGTTACAGGGAGAAGGCAGGAGAATGGGGTTGAGAAATACATAAGCCAATATTGAATGAGACAGCAGCCTTGATGGGTGGAATGTCCTAATTCTGCTCTCACATCTTATGGTCTGATGTCCGCTAGACCAGTTAAGAGCAGATTTCCTTCCCTGAAGTACATTAATGAACCTGAGGGGACATTCCAACAGGGCAAACAATGATGATTTCCCTTACAGGATTGTATAACTGTCAAGGCAAAATTGATGGTCTTTCAGGAAGATTTTTTTTGGACGTCTGTAGCAGTAAATCAGCTCATCCCATTCCCAATGCCAATTGTTGATATCTCTACATGATTATTGCCTTTGGTAATTTGCCTATTTCCTGTTGCGATCTACAGTTATATCTTATGTTTCTGCAAAAGGAGAGTATTTCTGTTCCTAACCTCTTGCATTATGAAAAACCACATGCTTCATCATTTCCACGTTATATATTCAGCTTTCAATCATAATTCTAGGGACTCCCCAAAACGGAAACTCTGCACCCCTCCCTATTTTTCCCAGAACAGCTGTGGTATTGAGTAGCTACACACAACATCCTGTCAAACTGGATTTCTTCAAAACAGGAAAATTGCATCATCTCTTATCTATCCAACTGAATGAAGGCTTTTTGTCTTTTGAAGTATCTTTCTGTCATTTCCATGCGAAGCCTCTCTGAATTCATAAAATAAAACAAAACAAAGAGCTGCGGATGGACTCTGGAGATCTGAAACAGACAAAAACAGAAGATTTGAGAAGGGTTCCAAACAAATGGGTATAATTAACAGCTTGTAAATAGTCTCTTGAAGCCAAAATTAACTTTGTGTTGTTCATCGGCATGAATCCCCTCCCAGTCTTATTGTACAAGGATTCACAGTGCATCAGTCCATTGCTTAACCTCTCAGGTTATTTGTATGTCTTAACTTCACCAATTATGCCCGCATGATATTTGTGGCAGAATTTCTTTTAAAAAAAATGGCCTACTTTAAATTTCATGCTCAAAATAATCACAACAGTTGCACAGGCAGTTGGATTTCTTTACAAAATATGTCCAATGCTTTTACAGATTTGAATAAAAGCCTGCAAGAGTGCATGTTTTTTACATACCGGTCTAAAGCTCACAATCCGGACATTTTTGCCTACATGAATTAAAAGTAGGAACTATAAGACGTTTAAAACTGGAAGGGATGCAGCTTGGGTAACGTCAAAGATGTAAGAAAAAATACATGAATGGACTAACAAGCATAAGCATTAATCCAGCTTTGAAACTTCTGCATGCCCATCATTGGGTGTCAAGATTGTAGCTATTGACTTGGCGAACTGGACTCTTGTTATTAAAACTTTTGCTGTCCTTTTTGTTTAAGTCTTCGTAAATGCATGAAGCCAATGTCTTCATCTGGAGGGACACGTACATGAGCGATGAAAACACATCACACAAAAATAAACTTGCTGAGTTTGTAGGCTAGCTCCCCAGACCACAGGGAAGGGACGACCCTTTAGAACTGAGATGAGCAGGAATTTCTTCAGTCAGAGGGCAAATCTGTGGAAATCATTGCTGCAGAGGGCTATGGAGGCCAAGTTATTGAGTGTCTTGAAGACAGACTGAGATGGACAGGTTCTTGATTGGTAAGGGGATCAAGGGCTATGGTCAGAAAGCAGAAGAATGTGGCTGAGAAACATATCAGCCATGATCAAATGGGCCAAATGGACTTATTCTGCTCCAGTATTTTAGGGTCTTACACACATATACATTGTTGCTTGCTCCATCATATTTTATGTCAATGTTAAGACCAGGACATGATAGAATATGTTGGATTCCACGGCTAGTTGTATAAAAGGTGGTTTCATTGTAATCGTTAGCATGATAGAAATCTACAGGTTTAATTCCTAATTCCTGAGTAATGATTGTTTAAGGTATGTCAAACTTATATACTTCCCAAAGGAGGAACAAAATGTATGCCAATATCCTCTAGAATATTCTCAAAAACACCAGGCTTTTCCACAATAACTAATATCCATTCACAAGTTCTCCTGAATGTAAATGTCTCAGTTTCTTGTTCTGGTCACTTCCGATGTTTCCAATCTAACTGACTTCTTGCTTCCGTTGGAACATGATTTTTTTCCCTCCAGAATTTCAAAGGTTAAGGGGTGATCAGAACGAACTCTCCAAGATATTAACAGGAAAAGACAGAGTTAAGCTAATTGGGGCAGCTAGGTGGCACAGTGGTTAGCATTGCTGTCTCATAGCACCATGGACCCCTGGTTTGATTCCACTCTTGGGACACTGTCTGTGTGGAGGTTGCACATTCTCGACATGTGGGTTTCCTTTGGGTGTTCTGGTTTTCTTGTTGTGCATGTTGGATCGATTGGTCATGCTACATTACCCCATTGTGTCCAAGTTGTAGGTTAGCTATGGGAGAGGTATATGGGATGGTCACGGAACATCAGTGCAGATTTGATAGGTTGAATGGCTTGCATCTGCACTGTAGGGATTGTGGTTGGAGAATCTGTTTCTCCATTGTATACATTGTGTTCTTTCTCTTTATTCTTTGATGGAATGTGGACATCACTGACAAGGTCAGAAATTGTCCATTCCGCATTGTTGTTGATTTTGAGACCATTCCGTGGGCCACGAAGAGATTTTAGACAAAAATTTTCTTCACTCTTCTGTCAGGTGTTCCTCCCTTTTATGACACAGAGAGGAATTTAATTCAGAATTTAATAAAATAAACCTTTCCTTATTTAACTCTTTAGGTATCAATACAAAACACGATCATTGTGACATTGACTTCTTACTTTATCTAACAACATCAACTTTAACTCTCTTCATTTGACTTTTCCTCACTTGAACTTAATTTACATTTCATTGTATCTCTAAATTTATAAGTTTGGATTGAAACAAATTTGTTGAAACAAACGAGCCCAATTTGAGTGAAGTGATCAACTTTGCCCTCAATGTAAATGTCACCTTGTGGTTCTTTGTCTTCACTGAAGATAACTTCAGCTCATGCACTTCTCAAATGTTGTCTTGAGGGCTCACTCCTGCACAATCCTTTGTTCTGGTTACTTTCATCTCAAAGTGTGCTGTTTCATGCAGAAACTTCTCTGACACTCAGCCAATGAATTGACCAAAATCCTGATCACAATGTTCGATCCCAGCTAATGGTGTATCGCTGGCAAACAACTCCCAACTGTGTTTACACGACATCGTAAACAACCACAAAGCAAACTCCATAGGAAGTGACAATGGTGCCAGTATGTCTAGAGACAACCATAAAACATCCCTGATGTGGTCAACACAGGTAACTTCATATCACAGATTACAGGATAGGTCACAACATATAACTGTAGCCAGGATAACGGAGGTCAGAGTTTAAACAGGTTGAGAGTC